GCCCTGAGAAATGAGAAACTCAATGTAATAAAACCTTGGAAGATGAAATATCCTGAATTCATTCACTGATTTAAACATATCCAAGCATCTAATATGTGCTAGGTATTATGCTATTTTCTAGGTCTACTAATATGAATAATGCATGGCTTTTCCCCTTATGCTTACAGTCTAATATACATCAGCAGATAAATTACACAATATGGTTAGTGAAAAGACAGATGGGTATTAACCTCTTATTAGGATGTTATGGGAGCAAATACTAGTATCTAACAGGCTCTCGTTGGTTTTGGACAGGGAAAGGAGGCAGAATCCAGAAAGCTTCACTAAAGTAGCTGAGCTTTTCAATAACAGATAATTGACTCTTTGTATTACCTTGTATTAGTCATTCCAGTGGCTTAGCTTGGAAATCTTTATAAAATATATTATACATTTCCCTGTGTTTTCAAACAAAATTCATATAGTTTAACTTATTTTTTAATGTTTGTTTTGAGGGTGAGTGGGGAATGAGGGGCAGAGAGAGAGGGAGAGAATACCAAACAGACTCCTCATTGTCAGTGCGGAGCCCAGTGTAGGGCTCAGTCCCACGAACCATGAGATCATGACCTGAGCCAAAATCAAGAGTCAAATGCTTAACTGGCTAATCCACGCAGGCACCTCTACTTTAACTTTTTTATTGATGACTTAGCATGATCACATATTATCAGTTCTTTCGCTATACAGCAAAATAGTGATACTTTTTATCACAGTATACAGGAGTAATTTTCATTATCCACAGTGTTGCTCAACATCTGTGATTTTGCTATTCTCATTTTTTTGTCCTATCCTCTTTGTTGTCAGTCTGATAATTGTCTTCTCTTGTCAATGTGGTGGTCTATAGAGTATCTTACTTAAATTTTTCCTTAAAAGTATACAGACAAAAATATGTGAATAAGTACAAAGTGTGATGCATTCTGTTAAATATATGAGTTTTAGTACATTTTATGTCATCTATTTTAACTACTTAGCTATCTTGCTTTTTATTATTTCAGAGCCACTAAGTGTATATAATACAACTTCATTTTATAGGCAAAGAAACTGAGGATCAAAAATATCAGGGATAATCAGTGGCAATTAAGAGTATAATCTAGGCCTCCTGATAACCAAAATAGTTCCATTTTATAAAATCAGCAGTTTTTAACTAAGAGTTTTAGCAAAATCATTTGGAGAGTGGTTCAAATTATGCATGCCAGGAGCTAAATCCCAAAGGTCCTGATTCAGTAAATCTGGCGTATTTATTTCCTTTTTTTCCTCAAAGGATTTTTTTCGCTTTCTTCTTTTTTTTCTTCTTTACTAAGGTATAATTAACACATAAGATTGTGAGATATTTAAAGTATATGTTCTGATGATTTGAAAGACATCATGAAAAGATTCCTCTCATCCACGTAGCTAACACATCCATCACTTACTCACTTACTTACTTATTTATTTGGAACATTTAAGTTCTACTCCCTTACCTTATTTCAGTTATACAATACAAAGTTATCAATTGTAATTACCATCTTTTAAATTAGATGCTAAGACCTATATTCATCTTATAAAGTCTGTACCTTTTTACCAACCTTTACCCATTCCCAACTCCTGGCAACTTTTCTACTCTCTGTTTCTAGAAGTTTGACTTTTTATTTAGATTCCACATGTAAGTAGTGCCGTGCACTATTTGTCTTTATCTGGCCCTTTTCACTTCGTGTAATTCCCTCGAGGCCCATCCTTGTGTTTGCAAATAGCTGCATTTCCCTTTCTCCTGGCTGAATAATATTCCTGTGTGTGTGTGTGTGTGTGTGTGTGTGTGTGTGTGTGTATACACACACCATATCTTCTTTATCATTCATCTATTGATTGACATGTACTTAGATTGTTCTCTTCTCTTGGCTATTGTGCAGTGAACATGAAAGTGCAGATATCTCTTCAATCCCCAGAAGGGGGATTACTGGACTCTCTGGTAGTTTAGTTTTATTTTCAAGTTTTTAAGGAACTTCCATACTGTTTTCTAGAGTGGCCGTACCAATATACATTCCCCCCAGCAGCGCTTTTTCGTCCACATCCTTGCCTGCACTTGTTATCTCTTGTCTTTTTTGTTTTTAATTATTTTTACTTATTTTAAGAGGGAAAAAGAGCAAGGGAGGAGGGGCAGAGAGAGAGAGGGAGAGAGAGAGAGAGAGAGAGAGAGAGAGAGAATCCCAAGCAGGCTCCACACTGTCAGCACAAAGTCCAACCTGGGGCTCGAACCTACGAACTGTGAGATCATGACCTAGCCCAGTCAAGAGTCAGACACTTAGCTGATTGAGCCTAATCTCTTATCTTTTTTATGACAGCCATTTTAACAGGTATGAAGTGATATCTCATTGTAGTTTTGATTTGCATTTCCCTGATTAGTGATGTTGAGCACTTATTCATGTACTTGTTAGCCATTGGTATGTCTTTTTTTTTTTTTGAAAAATGTCTCTTCAGTTCCTTTGCTCATATTTAAATCAGATTGCTTGGTTTTTTGCTATTTAGCTGTGTGAGTTCTTATATATTTTGGACATTAACCCCTCTCAGAAATATGATTGGCAAATATTTTCTCCCATTCCATAGATTGCCTTTTCACTTTTTTAATGGCTTCCTTTGGTATGTAGAAGCTCTTTCATTTGATGTAGTCTCACTTGCTTATTTTTGCTTTTGTTGAGACATAAATTTTTAAAAAATTCTTGGAAGATTCTGATGCTTACCTCTCACCCACCACACTATAATCTGGTTCTTAGCTATATTCTAATACATATGGTTGTCATATATCAGAATCCATTTCTGAATAGTTACATAGTACAGTCAATAAATGGCTGTAGAGTCTAAATCATGAGAAAGGGAAAGACTTTATTGTTTTGAATTAATGTTTATTTTTGAGAGAAAGAGAGTGAGCAGGGGAGGCATAGAGAGAGGGAGACACAGAATCTGAAGCAACCTCGAGGCTCTGAGCTGTCAGCACAGAGCCCAACGTGGGGCTCAAAATCACAAACTGTGAGATCATGACCTGAGCCAGTCAGACACTTAACCAACTAAGCCACCCTGGTGCCCCTGAGAAAGGGAGAGACTTTAGAGTTTTCTCTGACTAAGAATGCCTCCTAGAGGATTTTGAGCAGAAGGGGATGTGATCTAATTTGCATTTTAAAAGGATCATTGCTAGTTACTATATGATAAACAAATGGGGAGAGGAGTGTGAAAGGGGGAGAAATGAGTAGTCAAGGCTGTAGTGGGAAGATCATTTAGGAGATAATTGCATTGATCAGGCAAAGAGATGGATCAAGGCCTTGACCTGGATGCTAATAGTGGATATGGTGAGAAATGAACTGATTTTTGATATGTTTTTAAGGAAAAAGCAATAGTGTTTGCTGACAAATAAGATATGCAGTATGAAAGGAGATAAGGATCACTCTTAAGTTTTTGGCTCTTTAAGTAATTAGAAGGATGGAATTGCCTTTTACTGGGAGAAGAATAGTCTCAAGAGGAAGATCAGGAAATTATTTTCAGATATGTTAAATTTGAGATGCCTGTTAGACATCCAAATTGTGGTCTAGTGGATATGGTAGCCTGAAGCTCAAGGGATTAGTCCAGGATGGATGTAAACTTGGAATTCAGCAACACAATGATGACAGTTAAAATCATAAGATTAAATGAAGTTGTCAAGAAAGCCAGTATTGATAAAGAAAAGAGATCCAAGAACTAAACCTTGAGACACTCCAACAATTAGAAGTCAGGGAGGTAAAGATAGCCCCAATGGAGACTGAAAAAAAGGATTAGCCAGTGAAATGGGAAGAAAACGAGGAGAGTATGATAACCTGGAAGCTATGTACTGCAAGTCAGGGGAGTAATTGTTTCTATCAGATGGTAGGGTAAGATGAAAACTCCTCATTCATTGATCATTGGACTTAGCAATGTGGAAGCCATTGGTGACCTTGATAAGGAATATTTAAGTAGAGTGATTAGGGCAGAAGTGTGACAGGAATGAGTTCAAAAAAGAATGAATGTAAGGGAAAGAATTAGAGACTAGAGAATAGACACCTATCTGGAGAGCTTTTGCTGTAAAAAGGAATGGAAAAGTGGTATGGTAGCTGGAAGAGGACTTGAGTTCAAGGGAAGTTTATTTTAAGATGGGAAAAAATCATGGCATGTTTGTATGCTGACAGGACTTATTTAACAGAGAGGGAATATTTTTTTGATAAAAATGAGAATTGATAGAGCTATACCTTTGATAAGAAAAGGGAGATGGGATGTCAGGCATAAGAAGGGGATTTGGCCTTGGGGACACAGAAAGTTTATCTATAATGGCTGGAGGGAAAGCAGATTATATGGGCACAGACGTGGGAATGTGGATAGATATGTGAAGAACAGGTTGTCGAAATTCTCTTCCAATTGCTTCTGTCTCAGGAAGCAAGGTTCTTACCTGTTTTTAAGGACAGGGAAGAGACATTGGAAATTTTAAAAAGAAGAGAAAATGTGAAATAGTTATCTAGGAGAGGAAATGGACTTTGAAATTTTAATTAAAGGACAGCCCCGAAGGTAGACTTGAATTTAAATGAATCCAGTCAGTTTGAATGTGTATTTTTCTGAGCTTCACATTCAGCTAAGCTGGGTTACAGACATGGAATTGGAGAAAAGGTGGATATAGTCAAGATTGGGATTTGGTCAGATGAATACAGTGTGAGAGAGGGGCAAAGGAGTGAATGAAGTGATGATTTATGGCATTTACATTTAGGAAGAGAGGATTTGGAAGTGGAGGAGGAGCTGTAAATGGTATTAGGATTATCATATGAGAAAGTATTAGAGGGAGGACACTTGAAAGACAGGAGGTGATCCGAGAGAGGTGGTATGAGAATGATATGAAAGAGTCATGCTAATATGGAATGCCCAGCACTTTAAACTGGAATGAGGATGCTTCCAGTATTCTTAGTGGTTATAATAATTATTTTGATGGATTGATTTGTTAGGTTCATGACTACAAAGAAGGAACCCCAGAAGAGAAGACCTACTATATAGAATTATGGGATGTTGGAGGCTCTGTGGGCAGTGCCAGCAGTGTGAAAAGCACAAGAGCAGTGTTCTACAACTCTGTAAATGGTAAAGCATTTTAAAATTTCTACTATATATTAATGCTCTAGGAGTACAGATAATCAGATATAGAATATGCTGTGGTATGCTAGACACATTTTAAGAAAGATAATGTATTCATAGCTCTTTAAATCTTCATATCACATTTTATTTTTTTCTTAATGTTTATTTTTGAGAGAGAGAGAGAGAGATACCTGGAGTAGACTTCCAGATGGAGGTGTATAATCGAGGACATAATTGGAACCACAAAGTACCTACTATGTCAAGGGACTAAACCACTGAGAGTTATAATTTACCTATAGAGTCTTTTCTTTAATCTTCTGTCCCTTTTTTAGTTCATTTTTTAAAAAGCCTTTTTTTTTACTGTGAAATCTCAATTTGTTTTTGTTTTTGTTTTTGTTTTAAATTTTTTTTAATGTTTTTTATTTATTTCTAGGAGAGAGACAGCATGAGCAGGGGAGGGTCAGAGAGAGAGGGAGACACAGGCTCTGAAACAGGCTCCAGGCTCTGAGCTGGCAGTCAGCACAGAGCCTGACGCGGGGCTCGAACCCACGAACCGCGAGATCATGACCTAAGTGAAAGTCGGATGCTTAACCGACTAAGCCACCCAGGCGCCCCAATCTCAATTTGTTTTTGATTGATGTACAAGATTTGGCATCTCACCCTTTTCCTTCTGGTAGATGCTTAGCTTTTAATTGTGCTGCATATATATTATGCTTAAATCACATTCAATATTAGGTAAACATTGTAATTATTTAGTACCATCTTCATTTCTTATATTCCTCTTTCAATATCATATCACAAGGTGTTGTGGATACTACTACAAGAAGTAGAGAAGGTACTTGCCATTGAATACATACTATAAAATACAGGATGAGTTGTTAGTTCAGATGGGTTAGTTCAGACCCGTGTCCCATTTAGCTCAGAATTCTATCTGAAAGTATCACAATCTGTTTGAAAAACAAAACATTCATAAATGAAACAAAACAGTTGTAAGATGGTGACACTAATATATGACATTGTCATGCAAGAAAATACATGATAATGGCATATATTAATAGAATGTATATAAATGAGAAAAACTGTAAGGGAAGATTGGAATAGTGTTTGGTGACTTCTTAGAGAACAGAAGAGAAAGAAATGAAGCCTGGCTTGGATCTAGAATCAAGTGATAAACTTGGATTATATCAGTCAAATGACTTGACACAGTTGCTACCAATCTGATCTGGCAAAGAGAAGTTTGGATATACAACACTTTTGCCATTTAGAGCTTTATGAGAAAGAGTTAAAATCAAAATTATAAATAGACAATAAAGACCATTTAAATCCTAGAAATTTTATGGAGTTCTGAGTTGTGAACTGATTAAGTGATGAAGTCCATCTAAATTCATATTTATTTATATTTTTATACCTACTATTCATTAGTGATTTGTCTTTTCCTTGAATATTATTGAAATAATTGCATATGACCTATGTTAATGTTACAGATAAGACTGAGATGTATTCCTGTTTCTTAAAGTTTAAAAAGAAATCCCTGTTAAGAAAGGCCAATTTTGATGTTTTTTCACCTTAGCTCTGGAACATTTCTCTTGGTAGAAGCACTGAAGTGTCTTTACTCCATCTACCATCCTTGGTTTCTTAAGAAACAGAGCAGAAGGATCACTCCATTCAAATGCACAGTCTTTATTCTTATCAGTAACTTTCTTCCCTCAAACCCTACCTTCCTCCCACTGTGATGAACTAGGCTGACAGTCCCTAAAGGAAACCTTGTAAAGTGCCTGTACCCCTTTGGAAGGTGAGAACATGTTCTGACCAGTTGTCACACTGACTTCTTTCCTTAGGGCCCCATGGTGGCTCTTCTAGCCCATTGTCTACAAAGGAAGAAGTCTCAGCTCATTGGAAAATAAGGAAAAAGAGTGCTCAAATGCCCTTAAAAGCTCCAGAGCCTTAAAGAGAGAGCCTTAAAAAATAAACTCCTCCATATCCAGCTAATAGCTCATCTAGGCCTCTGTAATCCTTGCATCTCCCAACCAAGAGTCTCACCCATAATTTTTTGATATTTATATCTGGGAAGTAAGAGAAGAAGGAGAAAATATCTACCGCTCCTTTGACTTAGTTTTGCTTTCCCCAGTCTTTTGCTGTTAGATTACCTGAGTTCAAATTCTGCCTAGTTCACTTACCATGTGATTTAGGGCAAGTTGCTCAACCTCTCTGAGCTTTAGTTTCCACACATATAAAATGAAGATGATAATTCTTACCTCATAAGGAATGTTCTGAAAGTCACAATTAGAGAACACATATAAGGCACAATGTGTAGCCCATAAGTGCTAAAGAGATATTAGCTATATTCTTTAATGGTAGCTCTTTATTCTTTTTAAAAATCTGTCCTATATCATGCATCCTAAATGCCTAATAGAACCCTTTATTGAAGGAGGTAGAGTGAGTACAATTGAAGATGGGGCAAGTCTCAGATCTGTATTTCTCTATTTGTTCCAAATGCCAGGAGGATACAGATTTATCTGGGCTAGCTAGAACAAGACAACTATAACTTGCACAAGCACCTTATTTGGACAAACGTCTCTAAAAACCAGAGGAGCCAAATAATTCTAACTTTCTGCCCTTCTTTTTCAAATTGACATATCTCACATCTTGAAGGCAAAGGAATCATCATTTTCACATCATCTCTTCTTGGTAGATTCTAGGTAACATAGGAAATGGTTGAGGATTTGAAACTCTTGTAGTCTTCTGACCACATGATACTCTAACTCTAATAGGCATTAAAGCTTTTCCTCTTTTGTTTACCTGCTTCGCATTTTTGTCTGTTATACCTGAATCCGTTTCGTTGTGTTTCTTTACCTGATTTCCATTTTTGTCTGTTATACCTGAATCTATTTCATTGTATTTCTGAGCCTCATTACATTTTATTATTTTTCTGAGTCTCTCAAAAACCCATCTATTTTCTACTGTTCATACTTTTTGACTGGCTTTTCCTATCTTTTAGCAACATAGTTCTTTTGCTCTATTAACTAAATCTCTTATAGGTATCAAGCTTTCCTAGCTAGTCATTAATTCAAAAAACTAAAAGATTAGGCTTTTGAGTTAATTAGGCTCAGGTGATTTACATTTTGCCAGCTGTAAAATAGCAATTATAGCAAATGAAATCAATATAATTTTAATAAATTTTTATTAATATTTTATTGAGTATAAGTAGTAGTGTATGTATGATATCTATGACAGTACTATGCACAGTGATGACATAATTAACTTTTGTAAGAATATAATTTCTTAAATACTTGAAGTGGTTTTGATTCCTTTTATTGATGAGGTAGTTCTTTTTTTATTTGTTTTAAAAAAAAATTTTTTAACATTTATTGATTATTGAGAGACAGAGAGAGACGAGCATGAGCCGGGGAGGGGCAGAGAGAAAGAGAGACAGAATCCAAAGCAGGCTCCAGGCTCTGAGCTGTCAGCACTGAGTCTGACATGGGGCTCAAACTCACAAACTGTGAGATCATGACCTGAGCTGAAGTTGGATGCTTAACTGACTGAGCCACCCAGGTGACCCTGATGAGGTGGTTCTACAATTAGGACTAGGCAGAGGAGGCACTCATTAAGTATTGAATAAAGAAAAACAGAAAGATATTCTAAAAGTTCAATGACATTTTGCCAGCCCTTATACAATTAAAAAGAGTTATATAACTGACAAAGAAAATTTTGTAATTAATGATTTGTAGGAATTTGTAGAGGAAATTTTATGTTAATTGTTTCTGAGTTTGTTAATCATCCTAGAATGCTAGGTTTTTTCAGCAACCTTGTATTTACTTAGCCTCACTTTGCCAGTTGTGAAGAGAAATTGTTGCAGTATTGACATTATTTTCTTTGGTTATTTTAGGTATTATTTTAGTACATGACTTAACAAATAAGAAGTCATCCCAAAACTTGTATCGTTGGTCATTGGAAGCTCTCAACAGGGATTTGGTGCCAACTGGAGTGTTGGTAACAAATGGGTAAGCCCAGACTACTTCACTTTTAGTGTGAAATGTTACAGCAATCACAGGAATATACCGAACACAATAACACTTTGTAAGATGTTTGATCTGAAATTTTTTTCTCCCCATCTAAAGATTGTCTTTTCATTCTCTTACCAGTTGTCTTTCAAGCATTAGTTTTTCATCTTGATGCCGTCTGATTTCTCAACATTTTCCTTTATGCATTGTGCTTTAGGTATCAAATCTAACAACTCTCTGCCTAATCTCAGATCATACAGGTTTTCTGCTGTTTCTTTTAGAAACTTTATTGTTGAAAGTTTACCTTTAGATCTGTGATCTGGTTTGAGTGAGATATGAGGTGTGGGGTTTTGATTGAGGTTGACTTTTGTATATGAATGTCCAGTTGTTCCAACACCATTGGTTAAAAAGATTATCCTTTCTCCATTGAATTGCTTTTACTCTCTTGCCAAAAATCAGTTGGCCATATTTATATGGTTCTATTTCAAGACTCTCTGATTCTGTACAGTTGGTCTGTGTGTTTGTCCCTTCACTCCTAAAACACTCTTCATTATTGTAGCATAGTAAGTCTTCAAATTAGACAGTGTGGTTCCTTCCTTTTCAGAATTGGTTAGCTATTTTAGTTCATTTGCTTTTCCATATAAATTTGAAACCAGTCTTCTATATTGACAGAAATTCATCTTGGATTTTGATTGAATTGCATTAAATCTATAAATCAAATTGGGAAGAATTTTTGTTGCGTGTTCCAATCCATGAACACAGTATGTTTATCCATTTATTTTTCAAAGCAAATTCTAGACATTGTATATCATCTATATATACTTCTGTGTATAATTTTAAATGATAAGGACTTTTTTAATATAACCAAAATATAATTGTCACACTTAAAATTTAACAATAATTCCTTACTATTAAATGTTATTTTAATTTCCCAAATGTCTCATAAATGTTGGTTTGCTCAAAATAATATCTAGATAAGATCTATTCATTGTATTTAGTTTGTTAAGTGCCTTTTAATCTTACATTCCCGTTCCTCTCCCCACCCCCTTTTTTTTTCTTTTGCTCTCTGGCAGTTTGTCTGTGAAAGATGGCTTGCTTGTCCAATAGAGTTTCTTGTATTCTGGATTTTGCTGACTGTATCCCTATAGTGCCTATTTACCTTGTTTCTCTAAATCCTAAATGTTCTCTAAAATGATAGTTAAATATAAAAAGATAGTCTAAAAGATGCAGGGTTTTTGTTTTTTGTTTTTGCCCAAGTGGTGTTATACCTGACTGTCTGTCTCTTTGTAATGTTGACTTGTTACCAGCCCTATTCATCCGTGATAAAATTCCCCATCAGTTTTTCATCTAATGTTTTTTTTAAAATAGGGATTTCAAGATCAAATTTCAAACTGGATATAAGATTCATTGAAAAAGTGAATAAAAAGGAAAGCTAAAAAAAGAAACAATAGAATAAATTAAATGTGTATGGCACCATATATCTGTTATGTTACATATATAATACATGTGTATGTTGATGCACAACATATCCATTATGTGCAATGTATATGTTATATCTACAATACATATATTTGTTCATATATAAGAGATTACACAAGACTACAAGTGACAGATATAGATGTCTATCATAGATGATGGCTGATAAAATATCTGTTTGTTTTGTTTGTTCACAAACAAAAATTTGTATGTGAACCAGTTAGTATTGGAAATATTTCTAAAGGAGGACACTCTCAAAATTTTATTCTCTAATAAAGCAGATTTTCACTTCATTCCTACATCAATGTTGATGCTGATAAGAAGAATCAAAGGCCTGGAACTCAAGCTATTATTGGCTTGATGCAATAAATACAGTATTTTTAAGGAACGGTGGGTTACATAGTTCAAAACACTTGTGTTCCAAGGCTAGGCAGTAACTGAGACTCTGTAAGATTATTGCAAAGGGCGAAAAGATGTGGTAATTTTGCACTAACACACTTACACACCCCCAGTATGGATTATTTAAAGAGAAAAAAAGATAATGTCAAAGGAAGAAGAAAAGCTAGGCTCACCTGGGTTGTATTGATTATATTGTGCAGTATTGATTTGCTGTCATAAGGTGTTTGCAGTCAGATTTTGCTGACTACTGTTAATTGAGCTTATAACGTCAGGAATCCAAATCTGTTTTATTTCTCATATGTGAATAGAATTTGAATTAGTTGAACAACGTTGGCTCCATATTCCTTTCAGTAATAGAAGGAACACCACTCTGTCCTTTGGGTAAAAATAGGAAAAAAAAAAAAGAGGCTGTTATAGCTAGTGACCCAAGACCACTAACCATAAGTGATGCATAATGTCTCTCCCATGGCTCTTGTGTCAGCACAAACAACTATTTGGCACTTAATCTTTCCTTTTAGTATTCATTTTGCATTTTAGCCGCTTCTTTTCCATTTGTTGAATCCATCTTTTCCCAGGCAATAGCATCATCTATGGTCAGTTTTTCTGGCCTTCAGCATCCTTGTTTCTTAATTTCCTGAAATGATCTATTTTCCTTTACTATTCATAGACAAAAATATGTATGGTAGGTATAGAGCTTATGCATAGCCAGAAGCTTGTCATTTTCCCCTCTGGCAAAAGGTTTGAGTGCCGTGCTAGGTTCTTGTGTTTTTGCTCCATTGAGGTTTGAATCTGCTCTGTGCATCTAGCTAGAATTCCTGAGCTGTTAGCCTGAGAGGACAGAGCTTTGGGAGAGGTCAAGTTAACCTATCTTCATATACCTGGTGCGCATTCAGTTATTCAAGTAGTCCATAAAGATTGATGAAAATGAAATTTGAGTAGTTAGATGAATAGTTGGAACTCTAATAGATGGTGAGGATGGGAAGAAATCAGGAGAAAAGTAGGTTTATAGGTGGTAGGTAAGCAAAAGTCAGTGAGTCTCAGTAAAATAGTATAAGCTACTTACATTTAAACGTTATACATCTACATCAGAAAGGTAAATTCTATTCACCTCTTCATTATTATTTATTATAGGGATTATGACCGGGAACAGTTTGCTGATAACCAAATCCCACTGTTGGTAATAGGAACTAAACTGGATCAGATTCATGAAACCAAGCGCCATGAAGTTTTAACTAGGACTGCTTTCCTAGCTGAGGATTTCAATGCAGAAGAAATTAATTTGGTATGTATTTTTCACTCATGCATATTTGTGTTATCATTAGGTAATGCCAAAACTGAAGACGTAAGTCATATAGTCTCATGAAAGAAGCTCTATACTTAAAATCAGGCATTTGGGTTCTGGTACAATATGTAGTGAAGATTGGAATCAACATAGACTGTCAGATAGGAAACAGTCAATTCAACCTTCTTATATGCTGATCTGTGGGAATGTTCAAACTTTGTTCTATGAAAAATGTAAATCCTGGGCTTTTTCTTGAAAAGATCTTTTTAAGATCACACCAAAATCAAAATAAATTAAGGTAACAAGGGTCACTGATATCTTGATTGTTCTTGCTTTAGAAAAGCCTCTCAGCTGCATAGGAGCACATGTCCCCCAATGTTCATAGCAGCACTTTCAAAATAGCCAAAACATGGAGAGAGCTTAAATGTCCATCAACTGACGAATGGATAAAGATGTGGTTTATATATACAATGGAATACTACATGGCAATGAGAAAGAATGCAATCTGGCCATTTGTAGTGATGTGGATGGATCTGGAGAGTATTATGCTAAGTGAAATAAGTCAGGCAGAGAAAGACAGATAACCATATGTATTCACTCATATGCGGAACTGGAGAAACTTAACAGAACATTATGAGGGGGAGAGGGAAGTTACAGACAGGGAGGGAGCCAAACCATAAGAGACTCTTAAAAACTGAGAACAAACTGATGGTGGATGGGGGTGGGGGAGAGGGAAAAGTGGGTAATGGGCATTGAGGAGGGCATTTGTTAGGATGAGCAATGGGTGTTATATGGAAACCAATTTGACAATAAATTATATTTAAAAAAAAAGGAAAAGCCTCTCAGCTTCTTAAACTACAGAATTTAAGTTAAAGAGCAAAGAAATTAATAAATGAGAAAACTACAAACTGTGTAAACTAGGAGTGCTTTGTGAGCAGTAGTTAATACAAATTTGTATGCAAACAGAGCACTGAGTTTCTTCCTGAGAAAATTTGAACTGGATGCTAAAAAGGTTTAGAGAAGTTTTCACATAAGCCAGGTAGTGTTGCCCAGAGAAGGATCCTGGGCAGCAACTTTAGTCATGGTTTATATGTCATTGTTCACAAGTAGGATTTCTGCAACAAATTCAGTGCATTGGCAATTCCAGACATATGGTGCTAGTGGTACTTTAATAATACTAATGACTAGGGCACCTAAGTGGCTCAGTTGGTTAAGCGTCTGACTTCAGATCAGGTCATAATCTCGCAATTCAGGAGGTCAAGCCCCACATTGGGCTCTGTGCTGATAGCTCAGAGCCTGGAGCCTGCTTTGGATACTGTCTCCCTCTCTCTCTGCCCCTCCCCCACTCACTTTCTGTCTGTCTGTCTCTCTCAAAAATAAACATTAAAATTTTTTTAATTCTACTAATGACTGTCATTTACTGAGCACTTATTGTATACTACACACTATTTAGTATTTTATGTGCCTTATCTCACATTTGTCTTCACATGAATACTGTAAGGTAGGTATAGTAAGTAACTCCATTTTAAGCTGAGGATAGAGCCAGAGAGAGGTAACTAGGCCATGATTATACATAGAGGTCAAACCAGGCACCCTGACTCCAGAGCCAGTGGTCTACAATTAAGCCTATTTTCCACTTAATATTCTCCAACTAATATTTAGAATCTTGGAACTGAAAGAACTCTTAGAAATCCTCTAGATCACTAGTTATCCAAACCTGACTACATATTTATATTATCAATGTAGCTGTGAAAAAATTTGAATAAGTGCCCCACCGCTGGAGCTTTTTATTCATAATGTCTGACAGGAGGACCAGAGCTCTGTAATTTTAGCTAATGACTCGGGTCATTCTGATGCCCTTACTCAGTGAATCCACAGTTATGAACACTGGTTGGTTCAAACAATCTCTACTCCATAATTGAATCCACTTCTGCCTGTCATTCTGTTGTTTTTTTACATTCTGCTTTGCAGTGGGGGTGCCTTATTTTTCTCCCCTGCCACCATGGCATATTCACTGTCAGTGTCGTCCCTAGTTGCACTAGACCATGATTTTTCAGAAGATTCCTGTTACAGAGTATATATAATGTCCTTGTTGAAGAAGTGTTGAAGTTACTTTGTTCCAACATTGTTTCCAGTGGAAAATTTGCCTTTGAATATATTTAATTTGTTCCAGCAATTACTTTCCACATATTTTGGAATGTATCTGTTTGTCGTGCCTGGGTTTCTGTGACAGTCACCCAAATATGTATTTTTCCTATTTTACTTGCAAAGGCAGCACCATCTTTTAATTGTTAACAAGCTGTAAAGGTACTCAAATGGTGGTACTTGGGCACACATGATCTCCACAGAGTTCACATACAGCATATTTTTGGCCGGTTATCAATGTACAACTTCAAGAATACAGAAGAAACAGCAAGAAGGTTTTCAGGATGCAGGGAAGAAAAAGTGAGGAGGAAAATTCGATAAGAGTTTCAAAAAGAGAAAGCAGTCAGAAAGACTCAGCAAGTAGATATAAAGCCTCAAGTAAAAATGTAATGGAACAATATTAGTGCTCGCATCTCGGGTTACTGTATGAATTCACTTAAAACTATTTTTAAAAGTAAAAATCAACATAAATGTATGTATCAACGATGGAATCAAAGTTACCATCTTGTGACTGAAAAAAGCAAACTGGCTTACATTATAAAAAGAAAGATGATTACTTATTTTTTAAAATCCTGTTAGGCTTATTGTGTGTAGGGCAGATTTTTCTCTGTTCTCTGTTTACTTCAAAGTGATTATATTGAAGCATCTTCCCTAGTTAATATTCCTTTCTCAAGCTTTGACAAGCTATTTTAAAGCTATTAATCTTCCATCTTTGCCCTCAGCCATGATCAATGACGGATGGCTCTTTCAACTCTAAAATCCACATCCTAAAATCACAGGGTTTCTCTAGCCTGGTCAACAATAAAACCATGAGCCTTGGAATTCAGTCTCGGGAGGTTCTGCTTGTTTGCTGTTTGCTTTAGTTTTTGTATTTAGCACTACAGATCTATTTGGAATCATCTGAAGATTTTTGACACTGTGATAACTATGTAATCAATATCCATTTTGTAAAACATGTCTAACATAAGTCTACCTAAGGTTTGTCTCTTATGTGCCCCAACTGCTATATAAATGTGTTCATACGTTATTTCAGGTACAGCAGTTTCCACAATGATGTTTCCATCTATTTACTCCATACATGGAATTAACTTTTATTATGTTAGGTGCTTTTGTACCTGAAAGTTCAATCTGATAGCATTTTCTTAGAATGAAGAGAGAAGAGAATTAATATTTCAGTATCTGCTATGTATGTGCCAAACATGCATTATCTTATATAACTTTCACAAAAATCCTGTGAGGTAAGTATTGTTATGTTATCCTCATTTCACAAATTACTAAGCTCAAAAGGCTTAGTAACCTAACCAATGTCACACAATCCAGAGATGTTGGGACAGATACTCAGATTCAAAACTTGCTGGCTAATTTACTGATTTTTCTAGTACTCTCTGATTTTTTTAAAAGTTTGTTGTAGTCCCTTTTTTTGTGTGATTTTGGAAAATGTGTTATAGTTTCCGGACAAAATTAAAAATGTGAGCCTTGAAGTGTTATATATGGGTAAAAGAGGTGATTATTACACAATTTACTGCAAAGGAATCATGTGAGCTTAGAGATTACATACAAAACAAAATAAATGCAACAGTGATTTCAGTAATTGCCCAAGGGACATAGACCACCTACAACTGAAAGACAAATACCATCTTTGTAAAGGAGCCTATGTGATACCCTCATAGTTTGGACTTAGGTGGCTTTTGAGGTAAAAATCAAAGTGCTCTGTCTCTTAAGGTGGCAAATTAATGATGACAAGCAAAGGCAACTTAACACTGGAATTCCAGGAAAAGAATAATAAACCTTTCGAGATCTTTACTGATTATTGTAATTTACTAGTTACTTCATTGTAATGTTCCAAATTGTTTTGTCTTTTCTGGCCACATTTCCTCCCCTATTTTTCAAAATCCTATTTAATAGTAATAGATTGTTACTTAGTAATAAACCTACTGTTTATTATTATCAAAAAATATATTTATTGTTTATTATTATCTTGATGGCCTACCAAGAGATGTGATACTTTGCATTCAATGAGTGAGCAATCCCTGGCAACTGTTTTGTTTGTTCTTTGGTCTTCTAACTCCTTATTTTCATGATTCCTGCTTTTCGTATGAACTGCATACTACTTAATTAGATGATGCTGTTGAGTACCTTGTACTAAAAAGTGAAGTTTTAAGATTTTATTGGCTCTATTTCTGCTTTTAGGGTAGGTAGGTCACATGATTAGTGTCTTGATTTTCTTATTAGGAAGATTAGCAATCCTCTTTTCCTTTATGAATTATGTGATGATGAATACATTGGTTCAGTGTGCTCTATCATAGCATAAATGACCAAAAGCACCCTTATCTTCCTTTAGCACTTTCCTCCTTGCTTTGTGCATCGTCATTGGAAAATTACTTGAGGGGCACCTGGGTGGGTCAGTCAGTCAGGCATCTGTCTTCGGCTGAAGTCAGTATCTCCCAGTTCTTGAGTTCGAGCCTCACGTCGGGCTCTGTGCTAACGGCTCAGAGCCTGGAGCCTGCTTCGGATTCTGTGTCTCCCTCTCTCTCTCTGCCCCTCCCCTGCTTGTGCTCTATCTCTCTCTCAAAAATAAATAAACATCAAAATTTTTTTAAAAAAGAAAATTACTTGAATGTTTTATGAGAGTATTATGCCTGACGTGTCACTATAGAAAAGTGCGACAGGAACAGGAATGACTGACAAGAAGCTTATGTTTCCTAACTTTTCATTGTGGATCTTATGTTTTATCCTCTAGGACTGCACAAATCCCCGGTACCTAGCTGCAGGGTCTTCCAATGCCGTCAAGCTCAGTAGGTTTTTTGATAAGGTAATGGCTTCAATTAAGTTATATTTAAACTTAATTTATATATTATGAGAGTTTAAAGTTTTTGTAGAATGCTTTGTCCTTTTATTCCTTCATCCTGAACTTCATAGCCTGAACACTTGTTTCGATCTCTCTTATCTGTTGGTATAATTGCTCAAGGCCTGCTGACGTATTTATTTTATCACCAGTGTTCTCTAAGCAAAGGATGAAAGCTACTGGATTTAAATGAGTTATTTTAAAAGAAACCTAATTTCCCTTCTTAAAGCAAATTATGTTTTCCTGTTTTCCATCTCTTCTCATATTTATTCACATGCTCTCACCCCCCACAAAAGGCACTGAACCCAGGAGATTCTGCTTAAAGCCCTGCGTTCTTTTTGCTCTCCCAGCTCTTGTTATTCTCCGCATAAATGTTATTATTACTTTTAGGATTATGTCATCTTTTTGATTCCCTGATTTTCCCTATCAGAAACCTTTGCATTCCAAATATTGACTCTTGCTAGCATCATCTTATTGTCCTGAACTGGAATAAAAATGTAGAATGACTCAGCATACTGATAATTTAGAGCACTGTTTGTCTTTCCTTCACAAGGCCATGGGGCTGCATTGCACGTAGTATTGACCAAGTTTAAGTTGTTTGCCTAATGTTGACATTGCATAGTAAAGTAAAAGAGAATGTATTTCTGTATGTATTATTGAAAAAGATTGATTCTTGTATTACATTTCCTTTTAAGGGGACAAGAATAACATTTCTCTCCTCATAGCTCTTCTTTGTGAATCATGTGTCTTTTACCTATTTAGGGATCTAATATTTGGCCCATTTGTCCATTATGTCATAACAAGATAAGCCCCACACCCATCCCCATTTAATATGAGACCACTGGGAAATGTTTGCTTTGTTGCAGAACTTCCCAACTGGAGTGTGGCAAATACAGTATCCATGGGCCGAGATAGTGACGCCCTCAGTTGAAGCAGCCAGAGCCCTCCAGGCTAACTGATAAGCAGCCTCTTTCATTTCACCCAGTGTGCTGTACAAATAGCATTTTCTAAATGTGCCATAACATGAAAAATGTTGGGAAGCAGTGCAAGGAACTGGATTTTCCTTTCATATTATTTTCAAGCTTCAAACATAAGAACTTCCATTTAGTTTAAATCCATGGCCTCCATCTGATACACTGTTCTGCTCCCTGAGAGCAACTTATAGATCTTTGTCTGACACAGAAAGATCCCACAATATATTGCTTAATTTGTTAATAATTTATTAATTTGAAAATTTATGAAAGGGGGTGCCTGGGTGACTCAGTCGGTTGAGTGTCTGGCTTCAGCTCAGGTCATGATTGCACGGTTCATGAGTTCAAGCCCCGTGTCAGGCTCTGTGCTGACAGGTCAGAGCCTGGAGCCTGCTTTGGATCCTGTGTCTCTCTCTCTCTCTACTCCTCACCTGCTCTCTCTCTCTCTCTCAAAAATAAACATTAAAAACAATTTTTTTAATTTTTTAAAAATTGATGAAGGGGATAGAAAGGTACAAACTTTAAGTTATAAATAAGTCACAAGGATGAAAAGAACAGCATAAAGAATACAGTCAATAATATTATAATAGTTTTGTATGGTGACAGATGGTAACTATACTTATTGTAGTGAGCATTTTGTAATATATATATTTGTCAGATCACTATGTTGTACATCTGAAACGACTATATCAACCATATAGTTGGGTCAGGGTTTTCCTGACCTGCTGTGGAGGGAAAGAAAGTCAGCCCCTTCTTGAGTTTTATGGAATCAAGTATTTTGAGATATATGCTAATCACAAACCAGGTTTTCTACCCCTGCGGCCAGTGAATGCAACCTTACACTGGGTCTCTTGTGGCTAAAAGTAACCCATAGCCTCAAAAGTAGAAAAAATCCAGATGATTTGGCTGTCAAGCTAGTGAGATCAAGGTGGCACAGTCCTGGAAGGAGACGCCATGCTCTTATTCAGGGGAATTCTTAGCTTCATAATTCTGGATTCCAGTGCAGAGTTAATCTGCACCTAATCTGTATTCTTTTCCAATTGGCTTTTCTTAATCACAACAGCTCTCTCTAAAAGAAAAGCATACTACCTTTGCAAACAGTGCAGTTTCTCAAGTGTTAGAACAGAATTCATTATTTTTAAAAATTATTTTCTATCATCTGAAACATGGTGCTCTTAAACTTACTATATTAGGGCATGTATTTTGAGAGGTTTTTTTTCAATAGTAGTGATAGGTTTGTGCAGATACAGCCACTGCATTACCTCATTTCTCCTGCTGACCAAATACAGTTCTGAAGCTACTGAATTAAGGGTGCAGTTTAAGTGCATAGAAAGAAGCTAATTGAATGCCTTTGATGTTGTATCATCTGTCTGCATTGAGGACCTACCAAATTTATCACTGTTTACTCAAAGGATGTGGCAGTTCACTACATTACACAGACTCGTCTGTAAGGAATAGCTATACTATTGTAGTAAAAGTGCTCCGCTTTTATCTTACGGGTTCTGTTTTGTATCTTTGAGCTGACTGCTAGGAAACTTTGAGCCAGATTTGTTTCTGTACACTGGGAGCTGCATGGGTTATTATCGCATTCTCTGATGATTTAGCCATTTTTGTTTATTCACTTAATTTTTAATCTATTATTAATGCTTTTGGTAATGAGGCAAGCTTTTATGGAAATACGCCCACAATCCTGATAATATTAGCACTAGATTTAACTTATTTAACTAGATGTCCATAGCTGTTGAAAAGACTTAATTTGGATATATGCCTTTTAGTCCCATTAGTGGTTACGGCCATGAACTACTTACCTGAGGATGTTTGCTAAGCTATTAAAATCTCTGTTTCTCACAGGTCATAGAGAAGAGATACTTTCTAAGGGAAGGTAATCAGGTCTGTATCTATTCTTGATAAAGTGGGCTCTTAAATTTGGATAGAGGTGATTTCTAAATTTATTTTCAGAAGTGGTTTAAAAAAGGGCGGGGTGGGAGGGTAGGGAAGTCCTTTGTAGGCAAAAGCATTTTCTTCTGTCCTGCTAAATACAAAAGCAAAAATATCAGATCAAGGGAAAATAAGGTTCTAAGAAACAAAAAGAATATAGGGATAAGGTTATATTATAAAGTAATAGGAGAAGATCATTTGCTTAAGACTCCAGAGGGTATATGTCACAAACTTATCACAATGCAGACAATTCATGTAAAAGTCCAATAGGTGGGTGTTATGAGATTCACCTTCATCTTCCCTGATTTAGATGACACTGTCACCAATTTGTTGGCAATTGCTTTCCAGTTTGGTAGAATTTATTTTATTATTTGAGTAAAACCTCAGAGAGATGATTTTTTTAAGGAACAACAGGGTGACATACAGAAACAGAAAATAAGGAAAAATATTTAAGGACTCTTAGCGTTTGAACTCTGCTTGTTTGAGACTTAACGTGATTATCTTTCTTGCCTACAGATTCCAGGCTTTCCTGATCGAAAGAGGTTTGGGGGAGGAACGTTAAAGAGCCTTCATTATGACTGAATTACACCCATCCTGGAAGACTGAGCAAGCAGTGGCAGTTTTGCACAGCTTTCTTCTTGTTGTGTTGATTGTTAATATTTCAGCCTTTTAACAGAATCATCCTAAAATGCCACCCTTCAGCCTCACCCTTTAATGGAAAGCTGAAAGGAAGTGACAGCGTGGGAGGTCCAAACTTTGTCCCTATTCTCTCTGTTCCTCACCTTTCTGTCCCTGTTTATAGATTATGTAAAAGCCTTGTGGAAATATGAGATGTTGTCAAAATGATGCAGTAAATGAGCAGTGACAGAGTGCTGCAGGAAAAATTTAATCTTCCCAGAACTGGAAGGTTTCTTATGGGTCTGTAATTTTCCCACACTCCTTGCTGAAGGTTTAATTAAGGACTTCAAAAATGTACCTCTGTTGTTTTACCTTCTTGAGGGGAAAGGTTATGTTAACCAGCCCTGGGTTGTCCACCCCAAACAATCTCTGTCATTTTCAAAGAAGCAAAATGGTGTTATTTAATTGTCTCCACTCTCATCACACACAAGGAGGCCTAATAATAGCAGCCCTTGTCTCCCTCTCCTCTCCTTTGCAAATGGTTCAGTGGCTAGAAGAGGCGGACTAATAGCTGGAGTTAAATATAAATAGATTAATAATACATAGAGAACAGCAGTACCAGAAAAGGAGAATTCCCTGAGAAATTGACAGCTCACTAAATCCTTCACTCTGGGTTACGGATGTCTGCACTGTCTTATTGTTTTCTCTTTGGAAATAGGCAGGGTGAAATCTAAGACCTGTTCAAGGGCAATAAGAGAGATTTACTGCCTCTACTGTTTTTATTTTTTTAAAGGAAAAGTCAACTCCTGAAATGTCTCTTAACTGTAGTCAGTAAACTAAGAATGTAATTCTCTGTGTCAACAATGTATTTATGGAGAGAAGTAAAAATAAGTTCTACAGCAACACATTTACATGAATTATGGACTAGGATTCTTAGATTTCATAATCCAACGTTTTTTGAGGGTGGTGGTGTATGTGTGCATATGCATAATTGTTCATCGTTCCTTTTTTTACCCATCTTGTTTGCTCGTTTAATTCTCTCTGCCCTGGTTCTTCTTTAATATATAGACCTGGTTTCCAAAAACTGCAATTTGCTGCCTTATTCAGCACCACCTTTTTACTCATAACCACTCTCTGGCTCTGAGGCAGGTCTTTGCATTCCTGATTTTGCTCCATATTAGAAAAAAATAGTAGGTATACAGTTTCAGCTCCTCATTTTAAAACTACGCAAAAAACACGAAATTCACTTTCTATTCCATTTTAATTAAATTTCAGAAGTACTCTGGAAATCAAGGTATGCTAAAAGAGGATCTTAAAATAAGGTTAGGCAGTGCGTTTAGAAAGGAAGTTGTAGGAATTTGGGGAAGGATTTTTAAAGCACTTTTGATCAGCTAGAATATTCTGCAGTCTGTCTGCATTCTCAACCACAAGACTGAGGCCTGATTCCTTTTTTGACACAAAGGAGAGCTATGCAAGTCAGGATCTGTGCGTGGAGTTTGGCTCAAGTGTGTTGTGACAGAGGCTATGCAGACGCAGACGCAAAGAACTGACCCAACTAAAGCTCTTTGTAAACAATAAATTACTTTCCTCTTTTAAACAATAAATTAAAAAATACATATATGCATACATTATGAAAAAATAATACAACACAGAAGTGAAAATATATATAACCCTTTCCTTATCTCCCCTTTCTTCCTCCTTCTTTCCCTTAATTAAAAAACCTATCTCAACTTCTTTATTTTCTCCCTTACTAAAAAATAAAAGTAACCCATCACTGATGGCTTCAGGGTCAGCCTTGAAAACTTAACAGTACCCCTCAATTCCATTTCTTCTTGTTGTGAGGCTTGACTCCCTGAATTATAGTTTTCTGAGAAAAATTAATTTTTAATAATCTTAGGTAAATTTGTTGCAAGTATTAGCAGCAAAACAAGGCTGTTTGCCAAGATGAATGTTATTAGCCAAAGTTCTTGAAAATGAATGTTTTGAAGAATAGTTTTTGCTAAGATTTCCTGAGACCCGCTCATCAAAATTGCTTTTGTTTTTTTTTTTTTAATTTATTTTTTCTAGGAGAGAGAGAGAGACAGCGTGAGCAGGGGAGGGTCAGAGAGAGGGAGGGAGTCACAGACTGAAACAGGCTCCAGGCTCTGAGCTGGCAGTCAGCACAGTCAGGGCTCGAACCCAAGAACCGCGAAATCATGACCTAAGCGAAAGTCGGATGTTTAACTGACTAAGCCACCCAGGCGCCCCAAAAATTGCTTTTGGATAATCAACAAATGTAAATACCAAAATACTTCCTAAAAAGTATTAATTAAATCTTTAATTTTCTAGATGGAACAAGTAACTAGCAATAGAGGTTTTCTTCCTGTTGTGATTTAGATGTCTCAGCAGTGTTGTTACCCATCGGGGAGGCAACCAGACGTGAAGGCATACGGTCACTCATCTGTCCGTCAGGTGGCAGGGCCCTTTGTTGAAATCCAGCTTGAGATTTAGGATGGCCTCTCGACTTCTGTGCTCTGAAAACAGTTGCTGCTTCCAAAGGGGCTGATTCATATCACTTTATCTCAGGTACTAAGAAGTCCCTAAGCTTGAGGCATCCATAACATAATCCTTGACAGTACCTTGATTCTGCTGTTTTTCTGTCCATTTTGAAAATGGGCTGTGTGGAACTGATTTTCCGGGCCATCAGAAGGAGCTGAAGAGCTCCTAATTGCTGCCATGACCGAGGTTTTGAGTGTCCGTTTCAATAGTATATGCCATAGCACCCCTAGGGAGGACCTTGTATGGGTTTTTAATAAATGTTAGTTTAATTGAAAATTTTAAAGCACAGGTAGCATCTATTTTAAGAAGTTTGAAGGTCTAACAGGATGTCTGCATTGATTTAATATCTGTTAAAATTCAGAGGAGGATACTGTTTGCGGGGAAGGAGGAGAAGGAAATAAAAAATTGATTCCTCTCTAGTCCCCTGACTGAGTTAAATCAGTGTGGTAGGAGAGGAAATGTTCCAGGCAATCCAGCCGTAAGAGAACCTTGAGCCTCAAATATGCCACAGTATGTTTGCCTGATGCAACATTGGAGCTGAAGCCTACCAGGGCTGCTCCATAGAGTATGAAGGGGGTCTGGCTTCCAGTTACTATTAGTACCTCCATTTAAGGACTTGAAGCAATGGCTTTCAGACTCCACTGTGCATAAAAATCCCCTGAAGTGCTTAAAATTGCAGATTCGGGGATTTTATCTGCCCCCCCCTTCCTTGCTCAATTCTATGTATATAGGATAGAGCCAGGATTTTGTATTTTTAACAGACAAACCACGTGATTCTGATTCAAGTGGTCTGGGATCCACACTTTGAGAAAGATAATAAACTCCTATCATAGAGAATACATAGACTCTGTACTTAGTGGCACCATTATAGTTCATCAGAGTTCCTCTTCGGCTTCCTTTAATTGATCTCAACTTCATGAAGTGAGCCAGTCTTTCCTCTCAAGGTTATACACGCGACAGCAATCATGATATGAGAGTCCCATCCTCTCTTGGGAAAACAGGAGATGTTTGTTTTTCATGTACTACTATCATTTTTATTACGACCACGTTCTACATTCCAGGTGTATCTATTTCTAATAAGATGCTTGCCATCTCATACATGGTCCCTCTCTTATACCATATTTGTTGTCTCAGCTGGCTAATCACTAAGCCTTACCAAAGTCATCAGTAAGTATTGGTGAAGGACGAAACCCCTGCAGTCCAGCAAAGACATAAAATCCTGCTCAGTACCAGCAAGTACATTTATCAGTTCCATCTTTTTTTTTTTTTTTTTTGAAACCCTCTAACTGTAACTCCTCTAATTCCATCCTGAGTGATTGCTCTCCAGACCTGTCACGCTCCTTCACATTACCCTGTAACAGTCCCCAGCTCCCAGAATGAAATGTTTGCCAATTTCTCGATGTGGATCGATGGTCTTCCAATGGGGATGGGTACACATGTCCCCTCCAAGAGGTGCATGGGCACAGATAATTTTAGGAGAATCCTTTTCCAGCTCATCCATCTCCATTATGTATGTTAAAATTGTTCTTGTGAATGCAGCTCAGTGCTAGTTCTTACTTCCCACCTGTGCTTTCTTTCACAATTGTCCTTTTCCCACAACGGAAAAGGAACATCTTGCTTATGTAGGAATGTGGTATATTGCCCCAGGTGTAAATGTGTTAGGATGCCAACAAAAGGACAGTTCTAAATATTAGTTTTATTTAAGGACTTTGTTCCTCTCACACAATTATTTAAAAAGAAAAAAAAATGTAGACCTCTCAAGGAAGAGGCTCCTGAGTTCCTGAGGATACAGCAAAGAGAGTTTTGGTAAGAAATAACCAAGGCTGTGGCACATTCTTTCATGGCAAGTCTTCTTGCTTGGTCTATCAAAATATCAAAATAACATTTTTGTGAAAAATAATTATACAGGCAAATGAATATAAAATTAACATTTATTTTCTCAATCCTTTCTGACTAAATGAGTTAGAAAAGGCACATCTAAGTGAAAAGATAACATTTAATTAAAGTCAGTGATTCCAAAAGCTGGATAACCAAGCCTTTTTCAGTCAGGTCCCCAATTACTTACTTTCAACAAAATTAAAGGAGAACCTGAGTTGTCAATAGGTTACTCAAAGTAATGTTTAATGATAGATCACTATGTGATTTTTGATATTTGATTCAGAAGAGTGATGTAATCATATCCCTTCCATTCATATCTACTTATCTATGTGAACAAAGTTTCTTAACATCTTTAAACCAAAAAGTGAGAGTAAATGATGTTGAATCATGTCTCATTCTGGAAATAAGAACCATAAATGAGAATTACTAATCCATGGATATATGAACTAATGGGGGAGGGCATCCACCATTATTAAATTATTATTTAATTTATAAATTAAATTTTAAATATTAATTTATAAATTTAATAATAACAATTATTAAAAGAAGCATTTCCAGAAAAACTACCTTTTGTATTTAACATTTATCAAAATATCCAGTACGTGTGGATTACTGTCCTAGAGAAGAATCTTCCAGTCTCCTATCTGGAGGGTGAAACACTTCCCGATAGCATTCTCAGGAAGTGCAGTGGAAGAAGGAGGCTAGAGGTTTCAGCACTTACTTATACTTGGTTTTGGTCCTGCTGTCCACAATCTGGTGTTTGTGAGTCTGGAACTCCTCTGACTTTTCTTCTGGAGCTTCTGCAGAGAGTAAACCTATTTTCTACTAGAATCTGGGAGAAGCAGATAACCTGCTATCTCCACTTCCTGGTCCTTTTCAAATTCTCCCCCTCACGTGTTCCCTATATTCGTTCACTGAATCGATCCACCCCTGTCTGGTTTTTAGCATCTTTGCTCTCATTGCTCACAACTTTGATATCGTGACTCTGTTCTGATGCAGTGTATGTTTGCCTTGTCCCTACACAATCTGCTCCCTCCACTGCGTGTCTTTGACACCTGCCCAGACGGCATCCCTCTTCCGCTGCTTCAGATGTCTGCCAAAACGTTCCCTTCCCAGTCTTCCCTCAATAGACCCCTCCACTCTGCCCTAAACACGGCTCTTTGAATGCACTGCCCTTCCACTTCTCTGTGTTTGCACACATTCTTTCCTCTGCTCAATGCCCTATCCAACTCATTCTGTGCAGCTTGGCTTAGTTATCACCTCCTTTGGGAAGCCTTCCCTGCCCTCCTCCTCAGGACTAGGTGCCCTTCAATCCTTCCTGTAGCACCCTGTGCTCATCCCTGTCACAGCAGGTATGGTCCTCTGTTGTAATGGCCTGTTTATTTCAGCCTTCTCCAGTGTTCTGCCCTAATAGAGATCTGGACTGAGTCTCTTTGTAACCCCTGAATCTCACAGGGTCTGGCATGTAGCAAGTCCTCAATAATTGTAAGATAAAGAAATGAGTGTGTGATTACATTAATTAAAGTGGAAAACCATCAGACCTCAAATCAGATCTGTTGCTGAGTTTTATTTATTCTCCTATCCCTTGTGTGTATATAGCACAGTGCCTGGCACATAGTAGTTATACAAAGCAAGTACTTGTTTTGTTGAATTATATTTATAAAATCATAAAAAAAGAAATATAGTTAAGCCAGTTAGGAGAAATCTATAAAGTTTAATGATAGGTTATTCAATTTCAAATATTTTCAAGCCCCTCAAAGTAATTTTCATCTAGTCAAGGATCTGTGACCACTTCTTACTCTTTCAGAAATCTCCCACACCCTAGGAAAGAGCTTAAACACTTCTTAAATCTGCCTTCAAAGCTGATTCAGTGGAAAGAACATAGGAAGTCTCTGGAAAAATAAAGCAGTAAAGCTTTTCCCTTGTCTTTTATTGACTCCTCTTTCATTTTTTCCCTCTAACCGCCAAAGGCTAACTTCCAGGATAGATAGATTGAAAGCTCAAAGTACTCATAAACTCAGATGTAAGAAATATTTTTTTTGGAATTCATTTTTTATTTTGAGTCCACATACTGCAGGAGTAACAGAAACTTAGCCTCAGTAAAACCGGGGCCTCCCCCAACACATACCACTTCCTCCCAGGTTTGTGTATAAATTCCAGGGAAGCAAGCTTACATAATACCACAATGTCATCTGTCTATGCTG